TTAAATCTGGAGCTTTCAGCCACCCAGAGGAAGGGAAAACGTCAGTTGCCCTGGGGCATTTGCACCCTGGGAAGTGTTGCTTCTGTTTCGTGGCAGGAAACCTGTGCCACACCAAAGCTCAGGTGGTGCTGGAGAAATATTTTAGCCCCTTTGTGCCCTGACTATTTAGGACTTTTTTTCTAGAGCTGTTAGCAGCATCTGAATTATGTCTGTTAAGTTTCAGCAGATGTGGTTATATGTTGCAAAACCAGCTGAGAAGGGATTTACGACAGCTGAATATAATGAAAATCTTTCAGTCTGACTTTGACTTATGTCTAACTGGAGTTGACTGCAGATTCCTGGAGACTAGTGCTCATTCTCTTGGCAGTAATAGTAGTTGTTGCTCCAGAAGTTCATGCAACATTGCTATAGCATGTCCACCGGTGATACTTGCTTGTACACAGAGGAATATAGTTTGGCTGCTTTCTGACAATATGATGTTACCAGGTGTGACTTTTCCGTATCATTTTTAGGTATCAACAATCAGGAAATAACTCTTTTTAAAGGAGAAATACTGAAGAACTCAAATCCAAACTTCTTGATCTGGCTGTCTGGGATGGCTTTTTGATTTCCAAAGCCACAAGTTCCAGTGGTGCACTGAGAAGCCCGTTAAAGAAGCACTGCCTCTACGCCTTACAGCTGAATTTCTTTTCCTGTCTTGCAGGGGCAGGCCATGAACTAAATTCTCCAAATAATTTATCAAAAGAGCTGGAGGCAGCTCTGCATTTGCTCTGCATTTGCTGCTTGGTGTCTGTTGGTTTTGCTTTGGTCTTTCCCTGTTACTAAAATAAATGCAAACAATGCCTGTTTTAAAGGGCAAACCATAAATGTGAGTTAGCTGGGTTGTTAGGATATCCAGGGCTGAGGAGTTACAATGCCAAGCAGACTAGGGAAGAAACTTCAGCTATATGTGCATATATCCACACTTGTTTTTATTTTTGTGTGTAGTATAGCTATGTGTGAGATTTCTATAGCTTTTCCTTACAAAGTCTGCTCCAGTGAGAAATGTAAGTCTGGAGGAAGGCTGATCTTTTGCTGCAGGCTTGTGACAGAACAGCTCTCCTGTGGAACTGGCAGGGGTGTGACCAGGCAGTGGCCTTGGTTGCCACTTGATTAGAGGCTCCTCTGACTCTAATGAATGTGTTGGGCTACTTTGACACATGTTCACATGCATGGGCTGTTGATGACTGAAAAGCAGGTCAAAAAATAGCTTAGTCATTTTCAACAAAGGCATCTTGTGGTTCTCTGAAATGATGGTTGCGTGGACATTAGGGAAAGCATTGCACTTCCCAGCGCTCTGCCCATTCAGGTTTGTTGCATAAGGGCACCGCTCTGAGGTCTCTGAATGGCAGGAGCTTTTTCACTCATCCAGATGGATTTGTTGTGTGACAAATGAGCTGGACATAGCCATGCTTCTGCGGGGCTACAGGGCTCGCCTGTGTCTCTGGAAGGCTTGACAAGCAGCACAACTGGGTCCTATATTAGAGAATCATAGAATCATTAGGTTGGAATAGACCTCCGAGATCATCAAGTCCAACCGTTGACCTAATACCATCATGCCCACTAAACCATGTGCCGAAGTCCCACATCTACCTGTTTTTTGAACACCTCCAGGGATGGTGACTCCACCACTTGACAGTTTATCTTTGGCAATTAACATCCCAAAAAGTTCATTTGAAGGCTCCTCCCTCCTTCCCTTTCCCAGTGTCACTTGTGTTCAGGCATTGGCACAAGTATCTGCCCTGGAAATTGTCCTCGCAGATCTGGGAGCAAGAGGCCTGCTGCAAAGGTGCAACACAGCCCCTACCCGAGGCATGCTAGGCTTTGGCTTCTCTTCCCCTGCATTTGAAATACTCATTGGAGAAACAGAGAGTGGGCGGTTGGTGGCCCCTGGCACCGTTCTGTGTTTCTGCCTGGCAGAGCAACTGGGTTTTGTTACCCTTCATGAGCTGTCGCTCATGTGGAAGTTCTGGGTTGGTTTACAGTGTTTCACACCAAACACACGAGAGGCAAGCTGCTGCTGGCACGGGCTGCATTCCTCTCTGCCTGTACCCCATGGTGTCCAGCACAGCCTGAGCCTGCAGAGCAGGCAGCGTGGACTTAATCTTTGCTCTTGCAGCATAGGTCTGGCTGTGGACCGTTACAGTCAGTATCTCAGAGAGAGACTTTCTTTCCAGGCAAGAACCCTTTTTGGCCAGTAGTTTCTATTTCAGCCCTATGTAGCAAAACAAGTTGTAGTAGCTTGCCTGGTACCCTAGGATGGGAGCTTCTCACCAGTTGTTCATGCTTTGTTCTTAACAGCTCTGAAGTTTTGCGGAGTAGGGGCTTATATGGAGCTTTTGTTTCAGTGCTTCCCCCCTGCCATGCCTCCTTTATAATTCCATAGTCTGCTCTTCCAGCCCTGTATTGATCTGAAGCAGGACATTAGCTGCCCCTCTCTTCCAGATAATAAAAATCCTCCCCATTGTAACTGTAAAATCAGTGAGATTATGTAAAGAAGGGGTTGCAGTCTAATATTAGAATAAAAGAATTTATTTTGAAAATTGGGGAAGAAAGGGTTTCAGGAAACCTGTCTACTACCAAGAAACAGCTCTATAGAAAATTGCATATTTAGCTAGGACTCGGTGAAGGGTGTTGTAAGTGTCAACCCCCCAACAAAGCAACAAAGCACAAACAGATACCAAACCACTCTTGTGTTTTTCTTTCACAGACCTGTAAGTAATAGGTGGTTCATTAGGTCTTTGGAGAGAGAGCTCTACTAGCCTCCTGAGCATAGCACTTCTATTTTTAAATATGCATCTTCCTGTACATACTGTCCTTCATGTTATACCTGGTTGTGTTATAGGCTCACAGGGTTGAATTACACGATGACTGCAAGTATGGCAATATCGGCTCAAACAAGATGGCATTTGTGTGCTTGAGCAGAACAACTTACTATGATCGCTTCTATGTCAAGACACAGTGTCATTGTCCCTGTGTGAAGATTTAAGTCTATTTGTTAGTGCAGGGATGAGAAATGAATATGGGGTTCAGAATCTGCACTGATCTTCCGGTTTTGTCCTAGCTTTACTTTCTTTTTGTGGAGTTTTGTTACTCTAGTGCATATATATATACACACACACACACACTTACTTCTTCTTTCTTTACGTTCTTGCAATTTAAGTGTTACTGTGCTGTTAGATTTTTGAACATCTTTAGATTCAACCATACCTCTGTAACTTCCTTGTGCATACCCTTAAACTCTTCAATAACTGGAAAGGGGATTAATTTTCCAGCTTCTGGTTTAACTGTCTTTCCTACTTCTTTTACCTTTGAGTTTAGAAAGCATCTTTTAAATGTGCACTCGAGAGTGTTGAAACCTTCTGTTCTATACAGTATTTGACAGTATCTGACTGCATTGCAAGAGGTGTTTATGCAGGATCTGTACTTAACAGGTCACTATAGCCTGCTTGAAGAAAGCAGGTGCTGCATGCACAGAGAGAAAGCAGTGGCCAAAGTTTCTTGCAAAAGCATTAATGCTTAAAATAATAGAAAGAAACCCTTGTAGCAAGTGAACTGCTTTGCTGATGGACAAGAAATAAAGCACTGGAAATGCCAAAGAGGAGCTTTGATGGGAGACCCAGGTGCCCAGGGGAGCTGGGAAAATAGGATTCATGGCAAAATTCTGAACCTGGATCTCTGAAAACCCTTCTGCCTGCAGATCTTACAGGCTGTAAAGTCTATTCACTGTCCCTGGTAGTCCTCGTACTTTTAAGAGGCTTAGGTAACCCCATAGTCATAGAGATCAGCTGTAACTGTGGCTTTAAGCATCAGCAAGAGGTGACTGAGAAAGACTACTCCAGTTGCAGGATGCAGCACTGCTTATCGGCTAACTTGATGTTTAATTGTGATATTAGTGTACCTCTCAGAGGATACTTTTGTGCCCCTGACTTTGAGATTGGATATTGAGACTTGAAGGGTTCCTGAATTTGAGGTGTATCATGTGCTGCTGTGGCAGGACTCAGGCAAGTATAGGCACAATTTTAGAGGTGGCTTCTGATTTTTAGATGCTAGAATTTTGAGAGTTACAGTTCTAGACGCTGCACTGCGCCAGTGCAAGAGGGTCCTTCTGCAGAGGACCTTCTCTGCTGATTAGTTACTGATAACCTCAGAATTGTGTGTTCAGACTTAGTCATTCCAAAAAATGGTACAGCTGCAGGATGGTAATGTATCTGTTTGAGGGATTTTGCATGCTATTTTCTTCTGTGCCATTTTGTCTTGTGTTCTGACATTTCACCTTGCCAGTTCCAATTTGTGATTTCTAGCATGGACGAGTTCTAGGCAGACAGCACTGTGCCCACTGCATTGGGCACAAGCAAACACATATTACAGCTTGGTTGAACTGCTGCTTAGCTCAGCCTCCCTGATGGTCCTCTGAATGTGTGTTCTTTGATTACTCTGGCACCTCTTCCTTGATTGCACTGTTAGGAAAGTCTCATCTGCCCAGGTTTCTACATTCACCTTAAGCCAGCAAAAAGCTCTACATTTGTTTGCTCTGTGTTTTAAGAACTCCTAGGACTTTTGCAGCAGATGTGGTCATTATTCCTTTTCGCTTATACTCTCTTTGAGTCAGTTCCAAATGCTTCTCCAGACTAGGAGTCTGACTTTTATAAAAGCAGCCAGCTCTTTCTCATCCCTCGTTTCCTTTGTTGATGGCAGTAGGAGAAGAACAAATGTGAACTCGTCCAGAACTTTCGAGGCAAGGAAAACAAATTGGGCCATAGTATTGGAAGCAGATGGATTTCTCCACAAAGCTGTGCTAGCACTGCCACTTCAACAGCTGGGCAGATTTAGCCTCTGCTTAGAGAGCGCAGCTGCACTGGGAGCACAAAGGATCACAGCATGAGCTCAGTTGAGGCAAGAGGTGCCTGAGTGGTGGGGAGGGCTGATGGGAAACATCTGCTTTTGAAGCTAGTAGCTTTGATGCAGCTGTCAGAGATGTCCTGTGAGCTCCCCCTCTCTGGAGTTGTCTTCAGCTGTCAAAATTCATTATGCTGGGCTCCCCCCCCTCCCCCCCAATGGGACATAAACTGGGAAGGAAGAGGAGGAATGGCAGCAGGCTGTGAGGAAGGTGTGAGATGTAGTTATTGCTTTCCTGCATTCTTGTTTTTACAGCTAATTTGGGGGATAGTGAGGATCCAGTGAGATCCCACAGGATAAGAAAAAGCCGTTTTATGACAGAGATCTTTGTGTCTCAAACTTTTTTCTGTACTTCTTGCATACTCTAGAGGTTGCCTGCACAGGTGTCCTCAATGTTTGTGCCTTCCCTTGCTTTGACATGCTCTGTGGTGGTGTTGGTCAGCTTCTCAAGCCTTGCTTTTCTCTTCCTTTCATTTCTGTTTGTGTAACATCACTGTCTGGATTTGGGAGCATTTCACTGTCTGCTTTGTGCCACTGTCAATGACATATGGAAAGGTAAAGGGGAGATGGGCCTGAGTATGCTTATCCTAGTGCAGGAGAGCAGTCGTATGGGCAGTGCATGTGTGTGTGCGTGTCTGAGCCTACTTTGCTGTAAAAATCTCCACGACCCTTTCTAATCTGGGTTCTTGTACTTCACTCACCTGTGTCACCTGAAGGCTTAAACTGGCAAAACTCAGCCCAGCTTCTCATTTTAATCCTCTGTTTCCTAGTGAGTGAGATCTGCTGCTGTCAGGCCACCTCCACAGTGAAGCTAAAGAAAAGAATGATTAATTCTGTATTTGCAAGCCCTGCTGCACAGGACAATTTAGGCAGGGTGTTTAGACAAGTCAGAGGTCATTTGTACCCACTTTGCACTGGGGTTTTGGTTTGCAGTGTGGCAGGAAAAAGTGGTGAGCTAAACTGCTCCCAGACAAAATAAATCAATTGCATCTATCTTCTATATCCTACAGATTCCTTTCAGTTACATTTGTTGCATAGACCAGCTAGTGCTTGACTTGTAAGTGTTGCCCTTAGGACCCTCTCTAGTTGCTTGTATGAAATCAAAACACTAAAGCTCTCTCTGCTGGGAAGAGCAAATCACAGCTTTAACAACATCATGTTACTTCGTACCTTGGTGGTGGCATTGGCCAAACATGCTTGCAGGTCCCCATCTGTGGGCTTACCAAGTCAGAGGGCTGTGTGGTCTCCCTGTTAACATTTATGTTTTGTGTGGTCACAGGGCTGGCAAGTAGCTCATCTGCGAGACCACTTTTCGTTATTTAGAAATGCTTGACTCCTCCTTACGCGCGCTCTTCACGGGAGGATAACTGATGGTCGTCTTATGTTCACAGTCTGAAGGCACGAGGCTGCAGAAGGACCTCCGAACGTACTTGGCTTCCGTAAAAGGTAAGGTCTGCATAAGCAGAGAATCGCTTCCTCTCTAGTGCTTACCTACACAGTGAGGATTCTGCATCCATCCTCTTCCTGGTGTTTCCTCAGGCATGAGTTGTAGGAAAGGTCAGCCTTGTCTGGGTGGGGGATCTTTCAGAATCCTTCAGGACCAGCTAGGATGAAATGGGGTTGTGCTTTGATGCCAAATAGGCAGTGCTGTCTTAGCAGATAGACTCTCATATCTTCTGCTAGGGGAGGATGAACACAAAGAGTTTGATGGGACTGCATCATCTGTTCCTTTGTCCCTCCAATTACCTTCCATGTCTGTGTTATCAAGGGTCAGAGATTCTGTAAGGAAGAGCTTAGCAGTTGTTATAACCCATTCAACATCTCCTGTGTCCCTGTTCCTCATGATGAGGGTTAAACTGTAAGGAACATGCTATTTCCCTCTTTGTAAAGCAGTTTCTTCTTGCCTAGCCATGCACGAGGCCTCCAAGAAGCTGACAGAGTGTTTGCAGGAAGTTTATGAGCCGGATTGGCCTGGAAGAGATGACACAAATAAAATAGCCGAGGTAAGACTCTGTCCAGAATGTGGGGTCACCAGGCTTGGTCTGTTGTCAGAGCTGAGCTTTGTAAGCTGTGTCTGTGTGCCACATTTCTTCAGGCATATGGCTTTGCAGAGGAATTGGAGAGACAAACTCAGCATTGGGAAGAAGGGAAAGCTGAAGGAATGTGGCCTGTGTCTTTTGTCTGTATTGGGCACTGTCCCCAGATGCGTGAACGCTACATACAGCCATATGCTTATGCCCACAAGCAATTTTTTCTCCCAGCAGTAGCTAAGGAGGGACAGAAGATGCCAAAAGAGAGTCAGTAGACTCAACTGGATGTATTGTTTGTGCTCTGTGCAAGAGAAAGGGGAAGCTAAATCTATGGCCAAAGCGTGGTAAGGGCAGCCATTAGCTGCAACAACCTCCTACTCATGGCAGTACCACCAGCTGCCATACTTCAGTTGTCACCTTGTTTGGTTGAGCCATGTGTCATGCCAGCCTGCTGTTCTCGTCTCTTGGTGAGGTGATGCCTGTCCAACTTGACCAGATGTTTTCCTAGAGCTTAGGGCACAGTCTGCCATTTGACAGCTTTGATCCCCCTTGGCATATGTGTGTGGTGGCTCCAGCTGGAGGCAGGCATCCTCTGCTCTCTTGCTCAGCTGTTCTGCTGAGTAGCAGCTGTGGCAGTTCAGCTCTGTGGATCCATCTGCCACGAGGCAGCAGGACTGGGCTTATCTGCAGCTGTCTGTGGCATTGAGCAGTGGGGAAGGAATAGAGAGGCGAGTGGGAGAAGGATTTTTCCCTTCCCCTGCTTTCCGCTGCAGATAATCTCACCTGAAATAACATCTACATCTTGCCCAGGAAATACTGACTTCAAAGCAGATAAATCAAACAAAACCTGAACATTTCCAGGTTAGTTCTTGTATTAACATGGAAACTTTCCATTATGAAGTGCTGTTGCAGTAAATAATAGAGTTGTAGTTCAGCTAGTTTGGCTTCATGTTCTCTGTTGGCCTTTTTTCTGTTTCTGAACTACTGGGCTGCCTCCTGGGAGACTGTCCGTTCAGAGAATTTGAGACAGAGAAGTCAAAGAGACCATGAGTCCTGAGAACTAATTGTAGTTACTCTGTGGGTCTGCAGAAGTATTTCCAGCCTTCCACTTCCACCTTTAATATCTTTGTTTATGTTTCTGTCTTTTAGGAAGAAACAGGCAGGAGAAAAGTGCTATTCCTGCCCCCCAAAATAATAAATTCCCACATAAAGTAGGCATTTTTCCTGAATATTTTAGCCAAATCCATTCAGTTGGAAAAACAGGAGAGGGGGGCAATTTCCACCTAATCCAAAGTGTTGATGGGAAGTTCCTGAGCCGAAGAAAAGATCAGGGATAAAGTTTGCACAGGTTGGGGTGCAAGCCTTGGATGTGACGTCCATTGAGCTGTGGAGGTGGGTGGTGTGAGGGCTGGAGACTGCTAGAACAGCTTTCTGTTATTGTTCTTTATCCTCCAGAAAGCTATGTTGTAATGAAAAGCAGAAAATGGTGCCTAGTGGTGTCAGGTGCCCCATTTTTTGTGGCTGCTGGGAGAAGGAGATGAAGCTGGCCTAACTTTCATCTTTCCTTCTGTTCTATAGACTTGGGATAGCACTGCAGGGGAAAAGACAGTCCCTCAAAGGAAAGTTCACAAAGGGTGCTATGTCCTTGTAGAGGTCACCTGAATTAGCAGCATCAATCAAGCGTTTGTGTCTTTCTACGTTTCTGGCATGACCTCTGTTTTCAACTAAATTCTCTGCTGCTTAGTTTTTTCAAAGAAATGACTCTTTCTGAAGAGCTCTAAGGGACTGAAATTGTTGACTGTAGCACTCAGAGAAAAAGAGAAATGCAGATCTCTGTGTTCTTAATAGCTAGCTCATTACTTTTGTTTTTCAGAACAATGATCTCCTCTGGACGGATTTCCATCAGAAGCTGGTGGATCAGGCACTTCTGACCATGGATACGTACCTTGGCCAATTTCCAGATATTAAAGTAAGATTCTCTTTAAACCTTTTGATCTATGGTATCATGGCAGGTGAAACCTCATAAGAATCAATTTCTTGCATCCCCATCTTCTTTAGGGGGATGTGTGTGCTGTGCTGTGCTGCTGCAAGCTCTCCTTTTAGAGCAGCCGAGATCTTTGCAGCTCTGGGTCATGTGAAAATGTTACATTCTCCTTCTGGGCTTGAAATGAGAGTGAAGAATCCAGGGGAAAGATTCTGAAGAGAAAACATAAGTGCAAAACAGGAGGAACCATAAAATTGCCTATTGTATCGCAGTGCTGGAGGGCAGTGTCAGCAATAACTCACAAGCTCTGTCTCTGGTTTATGTAATTTTGATTTTTAACTTTCTTGTAAGTACAAAGCATTGAGGAAGCAGTTAGTGGCAAATGCGCTTTATAGATAGAGGCTGGTGTGGAAGGCAGATTTCTGTGTGTCCCTGAAGTTCTGCTGTGCATGTAACCAGCTTGATGTAGGAAAGAGGGAGTGCTGGATAGGCGTCTTAGGGGGAGATCATATCCAAAGACCTGGGTTTGAATGATGTCCTGCGAGCTCCCCTTCCCCCACAGTTATCTCCTCTCTGTTCATTTTGAGAAGGTTATGCAGGAAATGTCTTTGCCATATGGAAGCACTAGTAATGATATCGCCATATGGGAAGTATCAGCTTGGCTACTTACCAGTGAAAACAACCCTTTCCCCACCACATGTGTTGTCCCATCCCACTTGGTGGGACGAGGGGAGGGTGTTTTAAATTTCTGCGTGTCAATGAGGAGTAATGACAATTACTCAAAGGTTCAGAATTCCAATTAGCTGTACTTAGTAACTTTGTTTAACATTGGCAACAACTGATAATTGTAATGAGAATGATAACCGTATTGAGAGTTGGCAAAGGGAAGTACAATCCCAACACTTACTAAAGGCAAACCTGACTGCCACGCCCCTTAAAGCCAAACCCTACTGCAGCACTTGGCCCTGGTAATAGTTGAGAACGAGAGGAAGGAGGAAAGAGAAAGGACAGAGACAGAGTGTAAGATATCGCTGCTCTCTGATCCCCTGTCAGGTAGATCCTCAGGCGGTGGGCATGCATGGTTTCCTCTCCTTGTGGCCTTACTAAGTCTCTGTCCCCACCCCTTAGAGGCAGATTGACAGGTCACTGCAAGCATACTCACTCTGAGGCTGGAACCTTCTAGAAATGAGTTGGGGGGCTATCCTGGGGCATGCGCGCTTTGTGGCAAGAACCCTCTAGAAATGGGTCAGGGGACTGGTGGCATCGGGACATGCACACTCTGTGGCAAGGGTCCTCACCACAGTGACCGATGACTGACCTCGCCCCACACGCAGGTGCAGAAACAGAACCTTGCCAAAAGGGGAAACCCTACTCCACCTCTGCAGCACGTGGTCCTTTGCTCCCCTCCCCTTTGCCTTGTTCAGGCAAGGCAAGTGTTTAAGAAGTTTCACGCTGTCTCTGCGGTTGCATGCCATATGTGTCTTAAAAAGTTTGTCAATATTTGTTGTTTCAAGAGGATTGTGCTATCTCAAAGAGGGGCAGGTCACAGCCTTGTAAAATGAGCCCTGAACATCAAGTGTCCTTGCCTTCTGGGGCTCCTTGTTTTTGCTTCATTTTTCCAGCCACTTCTGTTCCTGGAAGTCTGAAGTGGGGAAGGGTGAAGAGGCTTGCTGTTCCTTTCCACCCGCTCAAGGCCATAGAGCTGATCGCTCCCTGTAGTGCGATGCTGTGTGCCTCAGCAGCGCAGAGACTCGTGCACTGCTTCCTAAGCCGAAGGTTTTGTTTCAGGTTTGCTGTATACTCGGGCTTCTGCACTGCTTCAGTCCTAATCACATTTTACCTTGTCGGCTGTGCATGGAGTGATCTCAGAGTGTCACTTTTTTCCATGCCGAGTATCTTAGGGATTTCTTAATTCTGCTGGGGTCCCACTGAAGTTTTACAATGGGATTTTAAAAGGAGTGCAAGACTAGGACGACCTGAATGCCACCAAAACTCAAGGTGTTAGGCACTGAGCTCCCATGGATGCTTTCTGACTTCCGAATGGGCCACTAAGGTGTTTCTTACTAACGTTCCTTTCTCAGTCTTCAGATGATGCTCTAGAAAATGGGAAGTTAAAGCAATTTTATGCACAATTTAAGTAATGCTTTAAAGAGAGCACTACTCACCTTTGCTTTCTTTATTAAAATGAGTGAGAATTTGGCTTTCTGTTGGTTCCTACAATAAGACAGAGATATATTTCACCAGAGCTGGCTATTTGTTTAAAATGGACTTTCAGTGATATGAATTTAAAAAAGTCAGTATGTTTTTATTGTAATTCAGCGGGATGATTGTCCTTATCCCAGAACAGTGAGAAGTGCTCAAATCAAGAAGTGGCTCAAATCAAGTATATCTTCAACTGATAGAAACTCTTATAAGTGCCGTTGTTGAAAGTTGCTACGGTTGTACAAAATTGCAGTTTGGCTTCACATAAGGAATTAGCGTTCTTAAGGTTGGCAGGCAAAAAAACCCCAAACCAGTCTTATGTAATTTACAGAATATTTGAGATGTTTTTTGTTGTTGTGGTAATAGCTTTCTGCATTTTGTTTTCCACAAAACCTGAGTTTTTCTGCTTTTCCTGAAATTCTGGCATTACTGTGATAATGAAAGATGATTTATGGAAAGAAGATGATTTTAATTTAGTTATGTGAAGGCCTGTTTTTTGGCCCAGTAATTCAAATGTATGATGAGTTAGATCATACATGCATTATTTTTTGTTAAATTCTAACATATTCTGAATCCTTCTTCACTTGAGGGGCTGGAAAAATTCCCTTGAATTTTTTGGACTTGCAGTGGGATCCACAGCAGGATTGTGAAAACATAGCATTCCTTTAGTAATGAATTTTTATAAGTTAAAGGAAATAATTTTTAAATCTTGCGTTGTAAGGGGTGAACAAAGCCTCTCTGTCTTCTCTAACTTGAAAAATAGGAATGTAAAAAGTACTTTATCCTTTCTTTGCAGGTCAGTATAACTTCTTGAGTAGGACTCTGCATAATCTATAATATTTCTGAGTGAGTTTTTGGTTGAGGTTGCAGAGCATGCAGTAAGAGTACAGATCTCTGCAGTGAGCCTAGAGAAGATAAACCATAACCTAAGTTCTGAATAGCTGTGGAATTGGTGATTTTCTGTCTTGCACTGAAACTGGTCCCCCGTTTCTACTAGGTTTAAACCGAAATATCAGTAAAGGGGAAAGAAAAAAAGTGTGTCATGGTAGTTTGGCTTGGGGTTTGGGGGATTTTTTATTTTTTTTTTTTTAAATGAGGCTCGAATTAAGATAGATTTGTTACAAAGCAGTGAACTGATTGAAAAGAGTTCAGCTTTTACCTTCAGATAGTGGTGGGTGGCTGCAGCTATCCTAGAGTCATACAAGGAAGTTACCCTGCGGCCTTCAGGGCTGGGCTAAGTCCCAGTACTGCTGTCACAGGCAATGATGTGATCAGTGGTCACTCCAGGAGGACTCTCAGGCAGTGTATCCATACCTTGCAGCATTTCCACATACTCTAGTAGAAATGTGAGGGTGACAGTTAGGTGCAGGCGTGACCGTGTTTGAGAGATGGGTGACATTGAATCAATCTCCCTGGTGGGGTGGCAGGGAAACCTGGAAGTGTCGGTTTGCCATGTCAGAGGTGGGCAAGACTCCAGCTATCTCTACCAGTCTGACCTGGGGGAAAAATCCTGTCTCTCTTAAATCCCAGACCCAGCCATGTGTTTCATCTGATGTGCGTGTAAGATGCATTAACTAGCATCTCAGAGACTGTCATGCTGCTGGAAGCCCCCTCCAACATCTCATCTCCATTCCAGGCTGGCCGTGTGGTGTCTAGGAAGTGTCTTCTAGTGACCTCCACTGCAGGGTGGCTCAGCTTCTTCCCGATTCCCCTCTTGGAGTGAGCTGAGTGCTTTGAAATCAGTTTGGGTGTGCGTGTGGCTGAGATCCTGCAGATCTGCTCTGACTCAACAGAGCTGCACCAGCGTTTGCTGAAAGTGCAGAGGAGCATGTGTAGGAGATGTGCGAACTGGCCCCAGCTGGTCTGGCAGAAAGATCAGCCCTGAGTGTGGTTTTGCAACTTATCTGCAGGAGCCTAGGGAGAGGAGACCGCATCTCCCTGCCAAGTGCAGTGGAGGGAGGGGGGGGCTTTGCTTTTGCAAGTTAATCCCAGTGCTGATTCTTCATCTTGCACTTTCAATTTCCCTGAGTGCTGTGGTTTATTAGAAACCTTCCTGGCTCCTTGCCATGCCTTTTCACTCCAGTTCTCCAGCTTGTTTCTAGACTGCTGATCACTGATGCTGCACCAGGCTTTCTGAGCTGGGGGGGTGCTAGGGTCAGGTTGGGAAGACCTGTGCTCTGACCCAGATAGTCTGGGGTGTTCGCAGAGAGTGTGGGAGGTGAGGGTCTAAGGGGGATGGATGGTTCTTGAAAAACAGGTAGCCCAGTGAGCTGAGCCTCACAGAGGTAAAACTGCTGGGGAAGAGACAGCCTGAGGCACCTCAGATAAAGAAGGGTAATGGAGGATCAGGCCACAGGCCTGACTGTCTATTCTGGATTCTCACCCATGGACTTGTCAGGACTCCATTCCTGAACATGAGCCTTGGCTCCCTCCTTGAGTTTGTTACAGCTTCAGCGTGTCTTGCCTATTAGTGACACGGTGCTTAGGTTTTCCCTCGCACTTCCTCTTGCTTAATTGCTAGTTACAATGGACCGCTGCCTGTAGGGACCTGTTGCAGGGTCCAGAATGTTGTCCTAGGCATATCCTGAGCATGTGGATGAAGGCTTTTGCTGTGCTGGCAACAGAAATGCCTTCTTTTGTTGAAGTTAATCTTGTGAGCTTCCACACGAACTAGGGCTGTGAGCTGGTTAGTTAAGAGTCTGGCTGCAACCTCAGGAGGCCCTGAAAATGATGAAGCAGGTGCCTGTAGGATGCAGGCACATGCGGAGGCTTAGGAAGCACCAGAGCTACAGTTCTGAAAACATTAATGTCATCCAGAGGTGGGGTCTGTTGTTGGTCAGATCCCTTTGCTTTCCCTGGCTGGGTCTGCTCTCCTCCTGAGGAGCTCCCTTGAGAATGGTGGTTGTCACAGGTGGCTCCCAGGGCTACCTCTCTGGGCAACCTATGTGGAGTATCCTGTGAGTGGCCTTGTGTGGGCAGAGCATGGGGTGCTCTGGAAGTTGGGTGAAGAGGAGGGGGTTTTCCTGAGATGCTTTGAGGTTTTGGCTGCTGGGGAAGATTGTCACAACTTTTTTTTCTCTCTTTTTTAGTCTCGCATAGCGAAGCGAGGAAGGAAGCTTGTGGATTACGACAGTGCCAGACACCACTTTGAAGCCCTGCAAACTGCAAAGAAGAAGGATGAAACCAAAATTGCAAAGGTAAAGCAAGCAGAAGGGTGTGCAACCATCCTTTCATTTTGAGAGGTCTGCAATTGCCTTACTGAGCAGGTCTTAAGTGCACTTGTACCTCTTCACTAGGTGTGTTTTCATAGAATCATTTAGGTTGCAAAGGACCTTTAAGATCATTGAGGTGTTGTGAACTGGTGTGGTTTTGCTAGGTATTTCCTTCTCATCTGTTTATTTCTCCTAGAAGGCAGGATGGTCTCTGTGTTGGTTCAGACCCCCCCATCATCAGTTTTCATCAGTGGTCAAGGCCTAGGCATGCATTTCCTCAGATACTGCAGGACCAGTAGCCTCTGTCAGAAAAAGCCCATGTGCCTCTGGGGGAAGCAGGACTTTGCAATGCCCTAGAAAAACGTTCCAGTTTGTCTGCCTTTTGGGGCTCTGTCTCCCTGTCTTAGAACAGTGTTGGGAGTGTTTGAGTGTTGCTTGAGGTTGGTTGTATTTGTGAAGTTCTCTGATATTCTAGGACAGAGACCCTTAGGAGTGTAAGTTAGAGGTGGAAATGCACCCTGTGCATACTTGATGACTGTATTCTATTGTCTATTGGTCACAATTACTGGGTGATAAATATGGCTGAAAGCAGAAAAACAAGAGTTTTCTTTTGTCGGGGTGTGGTTTTTCATGCCTGTGAACAGCTTGAATCCAGGGTTAACTGCAGGGCATGTCCAACATTCAAGTGAAAGATTTTATTTTTAATTAGAATAAATTTCATTAAAAATAAGACTTAGATTTAGATTTTCTCTTAAATGTAGCTGAAGAACAGTGATAGTGTTAACCTTGTTCTAGAGGCGGCACATAGTTCAAATACCTGCCCAGAAAATGAGCAGTGGATTACTCCTGTACCTTGAGGGGATCTGAACCCACATGCTCCACTCCACAGGACAAGTCTTGACACAACAGGGTATTCCAGGGCTGGGGAGATTTCTTTAATTCTCTTGAATGTGGGCTATGGCACATTGGGACTCTTCAGACTAGAAGTAGTGCAGGAAAGAGCGAGCCTGGATCCTGGATCTGTTTTGTTTTGTTGTTTTTTGGTTGTGTGTGGTTTTTTTGGTTGTTTGTGGTTTGGTTTTTTTTTTTTTTTACCATGCTGAGAAGAGCTGTCATCCTTTGCTTATAGTTATTGCTGGTAGGTGGAAATATGGGCTATGTGAGAGATGCTAGTGTTTCTCCTGCATGAAAGAAAGAAAGATGCATCTCTTCTCCCAAGCGAAAGATCTGCATTTAATGGCCACAGTACTTTCATTTTTAAGCTGCAAGTCATCAGTCACCTGCTCAACCAGTGTATGCACTGTGATTAACCTTGACAGACGAAGGAAAGAGAGACTGATGACTCGGGTATCATTGCATCATTTGCGTGGCAAAGCAAGGCCTGGTTCTGTATGCAAGGCATGAGGCTCAGCTGGTTGTGCCTTCTGTTCAAAGCAGTACTTCACTGTGTTTGGGGGTAAGAGCTGAATTTCCCTGGGGCATGGTATTATTATTGGTGTGTGTCTGTGGAATCTTTGCTGCAGTGGAAATGTTTTTTGTAGGAATTAATCTATTCAGAGTGGTACCTGATGATGTGCACCAAAGAGGCTGGTCGCCTTCATCATTGCTGCACTCGCTCATGTTGCCCCAGATGCTCACATAAAGATGTTACTAACAAGGAATTGTTTGTTGCTCTTTTGTTGAAGTATGAAGACAGTGCAGTTTGAACTGTTGAGTGTCTCTTTGTACTTGATTAGACTCTTCTCGTTAGCCAAAATGTGCGCTGAATCAGATCTTTCCACCCTCTGTGCTTTAGGCCATAAGCTCATGCATGGGATAATACATGACACATCTTACTGTCCTGATCCTGTAAAGATGGGAGCAGTGAGTCCCTGAGAGTTATGTACGTATGCTCTTCCCACATGGGCAGATTTCACAGCCCAGCTTGTGACCGCACACTTGCAGTCACACAGCTCTGCAGGGCTGTGGGTAGCAGCCAGGGCTCAGCGTGCGCGAGGCTGACATAGGAAGTTCACCTCTCTGTTCCTGTGACTGCGATTTTGCTCGTGTGAGCTTTGAAGTAGGGTTGTTCTGGTGTAAGGTACTTTGGAATATGATTATGGGCCCCTAGGAAAGAGAAATCATGGTTATGATGCAGCATACAAATGGGAACTGGCTTGATTGATGTTTCATGGTGTAGGAACAGAAACAGCAATGCAAATATTTTTTGGAGCTATATGGTCTCTTTTTTCCTTCTCTAATATATGGATGTTCTTTTCCCACCCAGGACTCCTGCCACTTATTGCTAAACTCACAACCTGCCATTAAAATAAAGCACTGTGGACTTCCAGCTGTTGCATGCAAATAATTATGATGGTTAATTAATCCTGACCTCTCTTTAAGGAGCTCCCACTTCACAGCCATGACTTGGAGTAGGGTTGTCTATGTGATAGGTCACTAACAACTGTATTTGTTGCTCTTTGCAGCTGCTTGGCTGGTGTGCAGTATCCCAGCCACACTGGAGTGTTAATTACTGCTAAACTTGGCATGCTTCAAAGGATTCATAACTGATCGGTCCAGCGATGTTTGTTTGTTTTTTCTCTCACCTTGGTGATACTAGTTTGGCCCAGCCTCTAAATACAGTCTCTGTTGTGATTCTAATTTTTTTATCCTAAAAGATATATGTTTGTGTCTCTCTTGTTCTGTTTATTTTTTTTTTCTCTTTTCACTCAAACATGCTCCCTCCCCCCAGCCTGTTTCGCTGCTTGAGAAAGCTGCGCCTCAGTGGTGTCAAGGGAAGCTACAAGCTCACCTCGTTGCGCAAACTAATCTGCTCCGAAATCAGGTGACTGCTGATCTACCTGGCTCTAACCCTGCATGCGCTATTTTGGGCTCTAGATTGTACCGTGCAACTAATCTCTAGGCAACGTTCACTCTAGTCCCCTCTGTTAAGTGTGTCCTTGACACGCCCGAGCCACAGTGGGCATGTGGAAGTTGCTGACCAGTGAATGAATCTATGCCTGCCCTATTGATTTCTAATCAGGTGTGTTAGTACTGGACTGTTGTTTTCTTCCCCTAAAACGAAATGAGGATGAAGAAGGGCTATGGAATAATGCCAAGGCAGAGGGTGATGTAGTGTAGTTCCTCCAGTTAGTGCTTTCTTTTTCTTCTAAGAGAAGCAGTCAATTTTTATTGTTGCTTTTTCCAAAAAAAAAAAAAAAAAAAAAAAAAAAAAAAAAGGAGGAAACACTGAAAAATTGGCTTCTGCATTTGTGCTGTTGAGTAAAGCCAGAAAAAAACCCAAACCAAACATTGCTTTGAAAGCGATTTTTTTTATGTCTGCTAAGTTAGATTGCAACATTCTCCTGTGGGAAAATCCAAGTTTCCAAAATGGGCACTGTCCTGGCTGTTGTGGTTTAAAAGATCCATTTCCACATATACAGAGTTTCATTCTGCATAGGAGAAGAGGTGGGCCCAGACCAAGGAATTTGCACTCAGTGTAATGTATTTGAGCAGCTCCAGGTTGAGGTCATGGTTGTGTCATGTGGTGGAACTTGGCTGGACATTTAGCTTCTAGCGTCTTGAGGGATGTGAGAGCAGCTCAGAGATAGCAGGGACTAAGAATTTCAATCTTACTTGCACAAGAGAAGCTTGGCTTCCTGATGAAATCTGCCTTGGTATTTACCTTGGAGCCCCTTAAGAGATAAGGGGGAGCTGACAGAAAAAAGTCTGTGAGAAGAAAATGCTCTCAATGGGCAAGAAATAGTAAATCATTACTTAGACTGGGAGAGCGCCAGTTACCTGCTTACAAGTTCCTGGTGAGCTCATCTGTTCTCATTCAAATGCTCCTATGTTTTCACATTCCTTGTCAGTGAATGAATGGCAGTCTAGAAACTCCCACCTTATAAAACACCTGGGTTTTTCACAGTCGGTTTATGGCTGCAGATCAGGGAAAAGACGAGATTACCACATCAATAAAGCCCGGGGAAAGAACAGCTGTTAGCAGCCCTGCTTGAAATGCATAGCAAAGGGAGGAAATATGTATTCATTCTGGACTGAACAGAGAAGGACATTTGGCACCTGTGCGTGTGGGGTGGGCTTCTCCTGCACCTCCACCACCAAGCTGCCAACGATCTGTGTCGTTTCCGTTCTTGACTGGTCTGTTTGGCTGGTGGTATTTCTGGAGGACTAGAAAGCAGGTACGGGAAGTTTCTCAAGCCACAAATAAAAATCAGCTCTTGCGCAGTTTTCCTCTTCTCAGACCGGCTGAGGTGACCAGGAGTAATACCCAGTCCCCAGAGTGTCTGGAGAAACGGTGCCTACGGCCGCTCCTTCAGCCAGTGCGCTCGGTTTTAGGCTGCCGAGAGTTGATCGATGATTTCACTGCACTGAGTGACTTAGCCCTAAAGCCGGTGACAAGGGGTCATGTAGTCTTTCCACCCATTGTATTGTGGGAGTGCTAACCTCCTGCTAAGTGACATTAATACTTTCAGTCACCTCAGATATTTTCAAGTCAAGTCCTTCTTTAAGTTTTTCCTCTTTGATTCTTGAACTAAATAATACTAATGCCAGCCTTAATTTTTTGTTTCTACTTGTTGGGAGTCTTTGATTTTGGGTTGGGTTTTTTTGTGAGTTTGGTTTTTTTTTAATTTTTATTTTGGTTGTGGACTAACAAAAAAAAAATCTCGATAAAGAAAATCTTGATAAAGAAAATTAGTCTGTATCTGAACATGTAGGTTTTTCAGCTTTTTTTCATAAACACGAGCAGGCAGGAAAAAAAAAAGGCTTCAGTTTTTATATTTGCATGACTTTAAGACTGAAGGTGTTACTGACATCCCTAAATCTCGTTAAGCTCTTGATAAAAGTGGGAAGGCTGCTGACACTGCATTTATTGAAGAGGTTCAGAATGTTAACCTAAAAACAAAAAGTCCTTCCCCTGACTAGCAGCTGTGTTGCTGTCTCTTCTTGCCTCGTAATTTTACAATGTCCAAGCGAAAATGGGGTCAGCAAGACCTATTATTTCTGCTGTAAAACCAAGTCCCTCCCTCCAGTGTGCAAGTTGCTGGCTTTTTAGGCCTTTAGCAGATAGTAACAAAAACAATACAGTGGGGGTTTTCTGTAAAGTCTCCTGGGGGGTTTGCTGTTGCATGGTCTCAGTTACAAATTTTGGTGACTGTGCTTTTTGAAACAAAAGAGAAAATGGCTTAGAACAGCAAATTCTTGCCTTTTTGCTAAGCTCCCCTGAAATGCTGAGTACATACTAAAAAGCAGCATCCTTGGCACTGCAATTATTAGAGAACGATATCTCTGTCTGTAGGAGAAAGTCAGCAAGTTGAGTCCTGGGCTGTGCTGCCCTTCTGAGAGGCAGGTCTGGCTGAGACTGGTGGGGCTTGGGCCTAGGGCCTAGGGTTTGGCATCTAGCTCTTCTCCTTACCCCTGCCTCTTGGGTGTCTAAACTATTTACTGGGCAGTGCGCAATTACCGCCGTTCACAGCATAGTGTTCGAAGAGAAATGGTCACCAGATTGCCTGAAAGCACCAGGCTGGATTTTGCCAGACACTTACGAGTGCTGGGATGCATGATGGTAGGAAATGCAATGATGGGGAATAACTGCACCTCTGTTACAACTGAACTGTTTGTATTTGGCATTCTGAGTCTTGGCTAGGGAGAAGGTCAGGAAAGCATTTGTGTTGTCCAGCTCCTGCTCAAACCTTCCCCCTTTCAGGCAGGGATTGGAGAGGAAGAATTTTCTGACACCACATTTCATGGACCTGGGCATTATATCCTTTTGCCTCAGTTCTCCATCAGGTTGGCAAGCATGACAGCTGAAATAGAAAGCACATAGATATGGTAGCGATGGGCTCTGCCCCTGAAACTTATGTCTTTCCTCCTTTCCTCACTGTACTGCATGAGCTGGCTTTTCTTCTAGCAGGGTACAAGACCAAGCTGATGTCTGTGTTTGGCTCCAGCTGGAAGCAGTCAGGGCTGTCAGGTGTCAGGACCCCTGCTTCCAAGCAAAATAAATCCCACTGTTGAGAAGATCTTGGGCTGACAAAGGAATTAATTCAACGCTGTACCTGGGACTGAGAGTACTAGCTGAGCCACAGGCACTAGGTGGATCCCTGACTCCTACAGCTACTCTAGAGTGAACGTTGCCTGTTGCTGATTTTGCCTTTGCCTCAGGATGTCACAATATTCACACGTTGCTTTCTAGGTTCTTTGACCTTCTGAACAGGTAAACGAGAGAGGGAAAGACTGTTGTTAATGTTCACTGTATCTGAAAAACTAACAGCATTCAATGGTGCCTCATCTCCCAGCTATCCTGTCTCCTGGGTTGGTTCTGGTTCCATCTAGCTTGGAATTTAGAGTAAGATAAAGCCAAAGGATGGACTGGAGGTTTTTTCTCCCTTTACAATGATTACATTAGACACATTCATTTGTAGAGGGATTTTAAGGCAAAATGAGTCTTTGTGATGATCGTCTCTGATCCAGCATAAACTGTGTCTCTGCTTGAATGGGCTTTTTGTTTGTTTTGTGCAAACTGTTTCAAAATGTTGGGGTTTTCAGTGAGTGTAGCAGTGAAATACAGGGGTTTCTGGGTGCAAGCACCATGGCCCCTTCTCCTACCTGTTCCTCACAAGGTCTGCTTAACTTTTGAATACCTCCCAGTTGTGTCTTTTTGTGGGGGAAGCTCTCTTCTGATCTTGAGTACAAAGTCTTAGCCTTGTCTTTTTGGCAGCAATGAGTGATCCTCTCAAAGGTGGAGCTAGCTGGAAAGTAGAGACTTTTGCAGCTTGCCCGTAAGTCATGAGAGAAATGGAGAGTGTAAAGATCCTACACAACAATGTGAGGAACAGCTCTCGGAACTGCATTTTTAAGTCCTTTCTCCCATCAATCCTATCTTTGTGTATACTTGTCACTAAGGAGCAGTAAGCTGGATTTCTTTAATTAAGCTGGCACAAAGAAGATAAAATATAATTTTGTAGAAGTGGTAGGAATCTTACTGCAGGCTTGTAGAGAGATCCAGTTCCCCAGTGGCTTGTGGGCTCTTTGCAGAGCCCTGTGACACTGTGACATTTGTGCTGTTGTCACGCATATAGGTAAGCACTCATGCTGACCTTCCTGTTAAGATATGTCGTCAAGTTGCTTATGCAGGGTTTTGCTATCCTGCATTCCACTGCACAGGGTTGTGGGAGAATGCTGTGCTGTTGCAAATTACAGAATAGAAACATTTCAATTAGCAAGCTTTGAGTTTTAAGTCTGGGCACTGAAAAAGAGGAAGAGGTCACTTAGGACAAATATGGGAAGGGGAATGTGCTTTTTGCTGGTGTCTGCTGTCAGCAGCAGAAACCAGTATCGTCCTTTTTGTCACTGAAACCCAACAGAATTCATGCATCAGTGTGGGGTCAGTGTCTAGGTCAAATGAACAGATCAAATTCAAACTCTCAGCTGGGAGAAGGAGGTCCTGTACGAGGCATGTTTCCTTTGGTGTCGGTGGCCAACAGCCAGCCAGGGGTTGCTCTTGTATTAGATCCTCACCAATGAGAGTATGCGAGACTGCTGAAACCAAGACCTGCTGCTCATGCACTCCAGCCTGGCCTCCTGCTGGCACAACTCATGCTTTGCATACCCTTCCTTGCTTCTCCAGTGGCTTTGCGAGAGGGCTGTATCAGCCAAGGATGCAGACCTCCTCCCTTCCTCAGAAGAGATGGGGCTTTGGCATGACCTTACGCAAGCAGAGAGAGTCACCACAAGGGGAGGGCTCTTCTTCAATGCCATTTGGGGTAGATTTCAGCTCTTTCAGAGACCTGGCAAGGGGCAGGGGCCGCTGTTGCCTTCATCTGTATCGAAGCTGGAGGCTGAACTGCCTGACCAGCTCCATTTGGTTTTTGAAGCCAGGGAAACTTACAGAACTTAAAACACATTAGTGGATGTTTGAATTACATTCTGACTATTCAAACAGGGAAATCCATTGAGCGAAAACCTAAGTAACACATGCAAGCTGAAGGGGCATCAGGTCACTCATGGTGCAACCCTGGTTCCTGGGAGACTCATTTGGGATGGGGATTTACCCCATGCCAGAATTTTGCCTGGTCTCCTAAGGAGGTCAAGAGTCACAGTTTTCCCAGCCCTGCAGGGTACTTGTCTGTGCTGGAGTTGACAATCTCCCTTCTCTGTTATTAAGGCTGAAGAAGAGTTAGTAAAAGCTCAGAAGGTGTTTGAAGAGATGAATGTTGATCTGCAGGAGGAGCTGCCTTCACTATGGAATAGGTGAGTGCTGGAAGTTTTCCCAAGGGCTGGTTGGAAGGAAGCGAAGACCTGAGCTCTTGTATCACTGTTCTCCTTAGTTTGGGCTGGGTGTCTGTGCTTGTTTTCTGGATCGTCATAGAGAGTCTGTCTTAGAATTCTCCCCAGCCAGGTTCACCCTGGGGCTTTCTGTGCTTTACTTCATGATCCTTATGAAAAACTCAATTTTAACTCAAAGAGAAACTGTTTCTATGCTTTATCTGATTAATCCCTTTGCCCTACTAACTCTGCCCAGCTTTCCTGGGCAGTGGCCCAGTATCTGCTGTGGACAGCAGACAGAGCAAGCTGGGTCACTAAGATTTTGGGTGTGGAGCCGGCTAGCTGGAAGGAACATCTGCAGCTGAGTGGGTATGTCAGCTGGCTGATTAAGAGAAGATGAGATATCAGAGAGGTTTGTATAGTCACTGGGGTTGGAGAGAGCCAAGAGGTCATGCCTTGGTCACCATCTTGCCATGCAAGCTTGTGAGCATCCAGTGAAGCAGCAGGTTTAATGCAAGACAGAGGATTGGAGGACAGGTTGCTGTGCTTTGGATGCGACTTTCAGGTTTGGGCAGTTGGGTGAACAAAGACAAGGGAAGGATTCTGGTTGGCTGCCTTCTTTTGCCCCTAAATGTGCTCCTGGCTATGTGACACAGGACCCAGTGAGAAACTAACTGGTTAGTGGTTGTAACTGTCCTGTTGTGCACTGTTTAACAAAATGTAGCCTGGGCAGAGGAAAATGGGCTGAGAGAGCAGGAAGACTTGAGAGACCATGGATTTGCCATACCAGTGATTATGGTGATGAAAAGGGAGGAGAAAGAAACAGACCGACATTTAGGTTGGAGGATGAACTAGAGGGCAGCAGAAGCTGGTGTATGGGGAAGGCACAGTGGAAAGCAGGCAATATCCTCCTAGGAGCGTCCCAGTTTCTTGTTTTAAATGCAGAGATCACATGTGATTCTGTGAATGTTGGTGGGGGGGGGTGGGGGGGTGAAGAAAGTGGGCAGCAGCAGGGTGGAAAAGCAAAGTGCTGATATCTGCCTTCCCTTTCCTCCCGGCCCGGGTCAGGACTCTCCGCTCAAAGCAGCGTGCAGGCCTGGCTGAGGAAGGAGCTGGGAGGGATACAGGCATCTGGGTGGTTTCATGTGTAGAACAGAGATGCTGCTGGCCTTAGAGCATCTCTCTCCTGCTGTTGCTCCTCTAGCTGGGAGCTGGTACAGCATTCTGTTGGCAGCTGGCAGGTTGGCTTAGAGGAAGGAGCGTGGCAGGCAGCTGCTGGGATTTTGAGGTGTCACACACAGGTTGTTCACGGGCTCCTGCTATTCACGTGATCCTTCCGCTTTCCTGTTGCTCTCTGTGCCTATCTTGTGCTCTCTTACTCCTCTGCACCTGAAGCAAGCAGTTTGTGCTTTCTTGTTTCCCCTGGTGCTGAGGGACTTCAGAGTGATATTAATACATCCTCCTGCTGCAGATTCCTCCAGGTCTCACTACACTCCATCTGTATCACAGCCTCTATCCTTTTCCTTTCCATCACCCTACCACTAGCTCTCCTTTTTTTTCTTTTTCTTTCTTTTTTTCCCCCCCTTTCTTTCCCTCCTGCTCTGTGCCTCCCTCTCCCTTTAGCCATCATAAATTCAAATCCTATCCCACCTGGCCGCCTCCTCACCTTGGACATGTTTGCCCCATACTTGACCTTTGCTTCATCACCCCTTTGACACTTCTCTGCTGCCCTTCTCTTCTAGCATGTACCAGACCTGACGGAGTTGAGTTTGAATGGGAATGGTGGGTGGGAGGTAGCAGAAGGGGCAGAACTGAAAGTTTTTGGGAGAGCATTGTGTCCATTAAGTTCTTCTGTCTTATTTTTCATTTGGCAGTCGTGTTGGTTTCTATGTCAACACGTTCCAGAGTATAGCAGGCCTAGAAGAGAACTTCCATAAAGAAATGAGCAAGGTAAGGCAACTAAACCACTTATCCTACTAATACACCCTCTCCTCACTGTTATTGAAGAAAAAAAAAAAAAGGCTGGAGAAAAGTGTGTTTGCTCCATGTCAGAGGAAACTGTTAACACTTAGTTTTTTCTGAGCCACTTGGGAGAAAAGCTGCCTGAGATAGTAATGTAAATGGATGGAGCATGGGGAAGAGGCCACAGGACCACGCAGCAGAGGAGAGTTTGTGTCACTTGGCAGGGCTTATTTGCAGATCCACAGAGGGTAGGGAGGCCACTTTCAGGCCTATCTCTTGCTGCTTTTTTCAGTTTGTCTACATTGTGGATCTGTAATCTATAACCTGGGCACTCTCAGCCTGGTATCTATTTGCCGCCTCCTCTGCTGCCTGGAGGCAAGTTGCTGTGAACCCTCATCTATCTAGCTTCAGGGATGAAAACAGCAGGGAATCTGCCAATCTGCAAGTCGGCCGAAGACTGAGACCTGCCTCACTCCAGTCCCTCAAGAAGGCGGCACTTCCCAGCAGTACCTCTTTGCTTTGGCTTCTTTCTCTTGCCCTGTGACCCAAAAGGAGGCATTTGAGTGCTTAGCGTGGCCTTCAGTTGGCCACAAGGTGGGAATCACAGCAGCAAGCAGTGTTGTAATGTGGTGGCGGCAGGCTGGATCCTGGTGCTGTGTGCCAGTGCCCAGCAGAGACCTCAGGAGCAGTCTCTTAGAAAGACCCCCATTGCCACTTTCACTTACATGTGTTCTTATTCTTTCACTTAAATATGGAGAAGTCTTGAATTCCTTAGGTCTGTACGCTGCTGCTAAGAGTTGCACACCCTCTGTAAACGTTGCCCTAATCTTGATGAGCAACTTGAGAGCCCAGCTGGAAAACTTGTATTCCCTCCCCTCCCCAATGTCATCCTGACAACAAGGCAGCCGCTAAGCAACAAGCAACATTATAGTTCTTCAATTCCCATCAGTCAGGGGCCCTCTGCCTTGGTGTAATGCATCAATTTTGAGCCCTGCTGACGTTTCATGGGGACCTTTCCAATTAATAGCCTGCTTTTCTCCACTGAGGGATGAACTGCTTGTTAAGAATAGGGAGGATTGTTACAATTATCAGTTTGTTGCCATTAACTTACATTCAGCAAAACATGGGAAAGATGCTTATTAGACAGGAATTTTCTTCTTGTATCATGTCTTGGATTTTTCTTTCCTGAGGAGTTTTGTATGAGAGCAGGGCTTTTGCTTTGTTCCATAAGAACCATCTGTTTCTTATTACTGCTATAGTATCCAATTAACTGCTGGTGTTGCCGGCACAATGCTTCCAACGTTGAATGCATTGGATCCCTTCTCCTACCATGATAAATCTGGCATCTCATCTTGTTTGTGAAGTATCTGTTTCAAAATAGGAGTGTCTGGAGTGAATATTGCAGTCTTTGGTGCTGGGAGAGTTTAACCCATAATACTGCATTTCTGCAAAGATATCCAGGTCCTGCCCAAACCTAGATAGCCCAGGCAGCTTGTGAAGTCAAGGCTTGTTGTTGACTGGAAGTCCAGCTGCCTTTGGCTCCACAGTTGAAATGGGCATATCCAGAGCTTTATAGCAGGTCTGAGGAACAGCTTTGGCTACAAATTCAGGGTGAAGCTTCAGTTCTAGCACGCAGACCCTTAGGTAAACACTCTGCCTGCTTTTGCAGTGGTACCTGGCAGCACACTGTGGGGGCAGGTGATAGAGAAGCAAAAAGGATGATGTGTAAGGGAGACAGAGCATTCCAACGAGGTACCAGCAACTCTTCAACAGTTTGAGTGCTCTAGCATTTCATGCCCCATGGAGGAGTGGAAACAGATGTAGGGCTGTCCTCTTGGGATAGCTGAGTATGCGCACATGTTTAGGCACAATCCTGTGTTTGGTCAGCCTGTGCAGCACAGCCCAGACTCTCTTCTGGCACTTGGGCTTTTTTTCTCATTCTTTTTCTTTCTTTTGTTTTTGTATTTTGCAGTTGAACCAAAACCTCCATGATGTCCTTCTGGGTCTAGACAAGCAGTACTCGGGCAACGCCTTCCCCGTTAAAGCACAGCCCAGGTCAGTAACTGTGGGAGTGGTGTCTTTCCCTCAGCAGGGGGGGAGGGACAGAGGTGTCTCTACCAGGGGTATTGAAACCTCCATGTTGTCAGTTGGGGAGTGATTTGACTACCTGCATATATCCAGCAGTGCCCTCCTGAGACTCCCTAGAGCATGTCCAAGATTGCAGTTGGGGCTGGGTAACGCAGTACAATACCTCTTACCTTTCTAGTATAACATCTGGAGGCCTAAACTTTTACTAGGTGCTGATATGTAGGCAACTGACTCTCAGCTCAGCTTTTTTAAGGTTAAATTCCATGCACCAGCATGTAGTACTGAGCTGCCCTTCCTTCTGGGTCCAGTTGCCCAGCACCTGTCGTGTTCCTTCTCTCAAAAGCTTTCCCCCCATGTACCCGCAGCTTGTGAGCTTGAGCACCAAGAGGCCATTTGCTTCCCCAGCCTCCTGTTTGGCCCTCCAAACTGGAACCACCTGTTTGCCAAAGCCTTATGCCCCTCCTATGTACGCAGCTGAGATGCGTTTCCTCTGTGTGTGTTGTGGAAGTAGTTGCAGCCTCACTAATACGAGGCCCTCTGATCTCGGAGCACTTCCAGTCTGCACATATGCAAGGAGTAAATGTCCTCTAGGCCTTTAGTTTTCTTTCCTCAGCTGGGTCCAGTCCTGTGAGGTTAAGTGCAAGTCTGCACATTCTCCAGCACTGAGAGGAGAGGGAGAGGTAGGGCTCTGAATGAGGCTGCCTGGCTCCCATCCAAATGTGTGAGTGATGAAACAGTGTCGGGCTCTGGCTTCCAGCTGCTGCTAATCCCACATGCTGGGTGAGCAGGAGCACAGCCCAAGTCCTCAATTGGTGTATTGATGGAGGGAGGAGGTGAAGTCAGCGTGAAGTAAGGGCAAGCTGCAGTCTGAGTGCATTGATTTGGAAGGGCTGGATCAGCTGTTGAGGCCTCTGTGCTCCCTTGTCTCTCCTCCCAGTTTAACCTCCTATTGCAGTTGTGCAAAGATGACCTGCGTGTTTGTTCCAGCAATGTGTGTGGTGTTTGCCAGTTTTAAAGAAAGAGGATGTTTGATTTGAATTTGTCCCCTGAATTTTGGATTGCTACACCAAATTTCCAATATGCTAGTAGGAGTGCTTCTTGTGAAAATAATATCTTTGCACGTTAGCATGTGGTGTCTGTTGATCATCACAACCCAACAGGACTGAAGCCTTGTGAGGAAGCTGTAGTGCCCATCCTGTGGCTGCCATGTGCCATGCTGTCTCTGATAGTAGCATCCTCTAGAGTCCTTGGAAGAGGCTGAGGTAACAGGACAGATGAAGGGTGTAGCCGTTGCTTTGTCCAGCTACTTCCTCCTCCTTCCTTTCTTTCTCAAGGAAGTGATCATGGACTATAGCGATAGCCTGGCCCAGACATGTATGTTGTTGCTGTGGCATGAAGATTCTGGCCTGAAAGAGCTTCTAATGAATAAATTACCTGTCCACATGATTCCTGCCCCCACAGACTGCTAGCTTCATCTGGGGGTGTAATGGGTGTCTCCGCTGCAGTTCTGTGCTCTTTGGCTGTCTGTGAGACAACATGGCTCTAAAAACCGAAAATGAGAGTGCACACAGAGGTGCCTGTGTGGGTAGCAATCTGAGCGCTGCTGCTTCATCACTTACTCCCTGCATCTCAGCTGAGATGCCAGAGCTGCCCTAAGCGACACTCTTCCTCCTGAACACAGTGGAGCAGGGTGTTGTAGGAGGATGTAGCAAAGGTTTGCCAAGGTAGTAAATATGTTTTGCAGTGACCAGGAAATGCTGTGAGGCACTTCTGTTTCTCCTGCACATCTGGCCTCTCATTGTGGTGCAGGGCTGGAGCAAGAGTGCAGGAGGAAATAGCTTTCACTGTTCTGATTGCTTATTGTGGTCTGCAGTAGGAGCAGATGCTTCCCTAACCGTTCTCTACTGGGAAGGGGATTGGAGATGGATACAATGGCAGGAAATGAATGAGGAGGTGTGAGAAGGGAGGCAATTATCTGTGCACATCATTATGACATTCATGCGAGGCCCTACAGAAATACTAGCCTGGCTGATGAGTCTGATGCTGGCTGTGTAGTGCAGTAGCACAGAGCAGCTGATGTATTTCTGGGAACCTCAGACGTATGTTTGGGATTTGTTTCTGAAAAAGTTTAAACATTCAGGGCTCAGATGCTTGGAATACCTAGAAGATCTGTAGTGTTATCCTGGTATGATTGGAGAAACTGGAAGACAACATAGGAAAGCTGCTGATTAGCTTCCACGTATATACAACGGCACATAGATCGCATAAGAAAAGGAGAATGGGGAACTTGTTTCTTATGTACCAGTATTTACAGGGGAGAGTGAGGAGCTGTGATTACATTGAAAAAAGGACATTACAGTTCTCTGCTGGTCTATACAGTTTAGTTTTTCTTCTTCTCCATGTGGCCTCATATTCCAAAGAGCAGGGAAAACACTAATTTGCTCACATACATGTAGATCTTTGACAGGCCCAAAAAGCCCGCTTCTACCCTCTCCAAACCAGGCCTTCTAGGAACAAAGGGAAGTGTGTACGTGTTTCTCTGTGTGTGCGTGCGTGCGTGAGAGAGAGGAGATCTTGTCATCTTGATTACAGTGAATTTTGTGGCACCAAGTGAATGGGTGCTCAGAAGCTTAACCTTTCCTCCCTGGTTTGACTGTGCTATCCTGTAACGGAAATGATTTGCGTGCCATCCTCAACAGAAAGAAAACTAAACTGTTCGCCAGGCTGAGGAAAAAGATGAGCAGGTACCGGTACGGAGAGCAGCATTTCGATACATGTTTGGTTTGGTTCCTAAAGCTGGAGAGGCTGTTGCTGGACTCTAACAGCCTGGCACGTGTTAACCCTGTGATGGGAGAGGGGTCCTTTGCATGATAGATGTGTTCATGGCCTGCTGGGTCCTGCCGAGATCTCTCTGTGTCTGGATAATCCCATTAACTGCTTGTGTGCCTGGTTTGAATCCTTGCTTCTTTTCCTATCTAAGAAGGCAGTGTGAAAGCTCAGGCAATGTCTCTTCCGTTGTTTTTGTTTGACTAAAAATGCAGTGCTGGGTTTTCCATGGAAAATATGGATGATTTTGGTGATTAACAACTTCTAGTTTTACCTAGGGGCGCTTGCCCTTTTGAACGAGTCTGAAATGCTGCATTCACATTCCCTGCCTGGCCAGGGAGGACCCCAAGGCAGGTCTTTCACACTCAGAAGTCCTGTCCTGTCTGCCTCTTGCAGTTGGGATGATGATGAGGTGGGAGGAGGACATTTCCAGCTTTGTTCCTTACTTGCTCCATTCTTGAGGATCCTCACTATCTTGCTCCATCCATTTAAAGTTTTGTGCAGGGCTGAAAGAAAAACCAGTTGTCTTGTGTAAAGACTAATGTCAGCATCCTGCCTTTCGAGACAAGGGAAGGCATTGAATAATTGGATTGCTACAATGCCTAGAGTTACCATAGCCAAGGTCAAGGACTCCGACAAGAACATACTTTGGAGCAAAGTGGGAATTGCTCCATAATGGCATGGAAACTTCCTCTAATTCTTATTTTTCTTACTTTTTGAGTTGGGATCCTTATAGGAAGAAAAGAAAATAATTATAATTCTTAAGATGGTGTCCTGCCATCAATAATGGCCAGTGCTTGTGGATTGGGATCCTTGCTTTTCTGATCCTGGCTTCCCACTTACTAGAGCAAGTCACACAACTCTTCTCTTTGTCTCTGCTATGCATCCTTTGTAAAGTGGGAGGTTGGAATGCGGAGAATGGTAATTTCACAGGGGAGCTGATCGGCAAACCTTGATATTTTTAATTTTTTTTTTTTATTTTTTAATATCCTCAAATGAAAAGTAGTGAAGGAATGTCTTGCGTTGTTACTATTCTGAGGTTTTCTACTGTAGGAGAAGGAGGATTCACAAGAATACTTCTCTGGATGTCTGTCTCTGGCCCTTAGTTGGACCAGTGTTGTATCTGCACCAGGCAAGAGGTCTAGTATTTCCAGTCACTGAGAACGCACAGGTGCTGCAGCAGAGGGAGAGCTAGTAAATCTCATTTTGGTGAGCTCTAGCCACAACATCCTCATACTCTGCTCTGATGAAGTCTGACTGTCCCAGCAGTTAAGGTGCCTGACCTTGGGTGTGCTGGGGGTTTCTGCTGTCAGACCAGCTCCTGGGGTCACAGAGAAATGTGCAGGGAAGGAGGGTCTGGGACTCAGTCGCTCTTTGATTTGCAGCAAGAATGTATGCTTGTGCCACCATATGTTGGGGATGTAGGTGCTTTTTCCTTGTTTCTCCCACCCCTCTTTTATTTTAATTAAAAAAAAAAAAAAAAAATTCTCAGCCTGCTTTGGTGCTAAAAAACAAAATACTTTTGGCTAAAAGGCCCTGTCTGAGCCTTAGCTGAGGTGACAACCTTTTTTTCTTTTGAACTTGAGAACTTGGCAGGAGGTGACTGGTCTGTTTTTACCATACTGGAAAGTAGGTTTCATCCTCTGACATAGGATTGTTACAAGAACACGGGAACCCCATCTGCAGATGTTTCTCTGCTCTTGCAGAACAGATGAGGCAGCCCCATGAGGGGTCTGGGAGCTCGGCAGCACTAAAAGAGGATGGAGGACTTTGGCTTTCCCTTCAGCTGCAGTAACTGCATTAGGTGCTGTTCCCAGCTCTCTATTTGCAGAAGAAAGTTGACACCCCCTTTCTTTCCCTGACTGATATTCCTGCATTTGGCATCACTTCCCAGTTGCTCATGGGAAAGAAAAAAAAAAAGAGAGCAATGACCTTTTTGTTTTGACTTGCTTTTCCTGTGGTAGTCACGTTTGGTCAATGGGGACAGTCCCCCCACTCTCGCTTTTCCCTGTGTTTCCTGGAGCAAGCAGTCGGTTTGGAAATGGGACTTTGCTCTGTGCGGGCAGCGTATGCTCCCCCAGGAGCCGTGAAGGAGACAGGATCCTGGTGACAGGCTCACTTGACACTGGTTGCACTGGCTAAATGCATGTAAAGCAGCAAGTGGAGGAATGAAGGTTCTGTTTGAGGGGCTGGAAAAGGCTCAGCCAAAATTAGCGCTGGCATTTTCCTAGGGGGATCAGCCAATGCATCAAACAAGCTGTAAATAGTAGTGACTTAATGAAGGCTTTAGTGTGGGGCCCTCTCAACCCTTGTAGGATGAGGGGAAGAAACTGGGCTGCCTCTCATATGAGGAGCCTTTTACCAATATATGTCCAAATTAAGTCACTGCCAGGCACCAGAAATAAGGTACTGAAAAGCTGTTTTATGGCCTTTAGAAAATAAGCCTGAACTCCTTTCTTACTGGGAGAAATAACCCCTTCAGGTCCCTAGAAGGAAAAGTCTACCTTTGTGTTGGTAGGTCAGCTGATAGCCGGTAGTTCCAATGTTCCCAGTGTAGTCTGGGCATTTCAGGAGTCCTGGCAGTCTAGCTGTAGATCAGTTCCCCCTCATCTTCTCCAAAATGCTTTCAGCTCCAGGGAAGGGAACATGTATTTTTTTTCCCCAACTCTACTATCAGAGGACACTTCCTGTCATTTCCTGCTATTCCCTGGTGACTCCCATTTAGAGCAAGACTTCCTTACCTTCACCCTCCAACCATTACTTCTTTTAATCTGTAGCACAACCCACTGTTTTGAAGTGATTTCTGGGCACCTCTGAGGAAGGACACTGTAGGCATATCCAGTCAAACTGAAGAGCTGCAGGGGTTGGTGTACATGTTCTTTAGTCTCTCCTCTTCCCTTTTTCCTCTTCCTTTCCCTCTTTTTTTCCTTGGTGTGTGTGCCCCGGTTGAGAGCTGCTGGCAGCGAATGTCATTGGGTTTGTTGCATCATGTTGGTGTGCTGCTGGCATCAGTATTGTCAGAAACATCCGACCTGCATGCGGATGTGAGAACAAGTGCTTTGTGGGGAAATGTGCGTGTGGGGTGTGGATATGGGGAGAAAGTGGGCGGAATGGGTGAGGGCAAAGTGAATGAACAGGGAATGTTGGGATGGGGAGCTTGAAAGCTGGAATGCTGAGCAGAGGGAGATGCTTGCTTTGAAGGGGAGGTTTGTTGAAAAGCCTTGCTGTCCTGTATTCCCTCTTGCTGTCCCCCTACTCGTGAGTGTTTAGGAATGAGGCCATCATGCATGTTAGCCAATGACCACCACACCTCAGGCATCCCAAGTTGAGAGTGGATGTACATGTCTGGAGCTCTGGTCTTTCTTTGGGCAGAGCAAGGAAATAATTGACTTGATGCCCTTCAGAATCAGGTCTGCGCTGCTGTAGTCCTGGCTCGATGCCAGGATTTATTGTCTCAAGTTGTAGGAAAGGAGCTGTTCTTTCAGCCTTCTCCCAAGGTCTTTAACTTCTCAAGAACTGCAACTTTAGAAGAGCAGGCAAATATCACTCCCTGTAGATGAGGTTGCATAGCCCTTTTGCAATATTCTGTTTTCAGCTGTGTATAGTTTTGCCAGACACTAACTACTTCTGCTAAAATATCCCTACCAGTGTCTGTGCTTCTGCATGACTTGATTAGTTGCTTTTTGGGGAGCTGAATTTCAGTCAAGATGGTTACAGCTGTTCCTGAGAATTAGGCTGGCAAAATGGTTTTACTTTTATCCAAGTTGAAATTCTCTGATAACCAACTTTTTACTAAGTCTCTCATGACTCCATACTTTGAAGCGCAGACTTGATATTTGGCCAGGGCATGCCCTTAGGGAAAGGCACGTCTCTCTTGCCATTCGTTTGAAAAATCTATCCAAATTTGGCCAAGTTATGAACCAACAAGCATATGTTCCTTGCACCTTAATTCACTGAAGAATCCCTCTTGACAGTCCTGGAATAAGGACCAACTGGAAAGGCAAGGGCAGAAGAGGTTCATGATTGAAAACAAGGCTGGTGAGACTTTCCATGAAAGAGAAATCTTTATTAGTAGCCAGAATCTCACTGTTTCTTTGCTGTCTGGAATGATCTATGAAACCTCTGGCTACTTGGCCCCTTTTCCAGCTTAGCCAGTTTGTACCACATGAGGAATATGATATTCTATGATTACAGCCTTAGCTCAGGTGTTGTGCATCTATTAGTCATAACCCATGCAGGTGTCAGTACACCACCATGCAGAAAAATTCTTATCTGTAGAATTTAAAACTAAATGAGCTGCACAGAACTCCTTCTCCCATCTGCTTCCCCTGTATTAAGAGACTGTGAAATGTCAGACCACTTAGAATCTAGCAGAATTAAGGATGCATGATTAGTTTTTTGTTTTTGTTTTTCTGTGTCTGAGGCAAAGTATATCTGTGCACTAGGAATTTAGTGAGTAGCCTGCTGCACAGTAATGCTACTGCAGTGTGTTGGACTGCAAGTGACTCAGCAAAGATGTATCTCAGAAGCTTGTAGAGGCTTCAGATGTCTTCGTCGTGTGTCTGGGCAGCGAAGCGAAGAGATAATGGAGGCCACTGATCTGTACTGGTTAGCACAACTTCGCAGCCTG